AGGCTGCTGCTGGCTGGTGCCCTGGTTCCTGGAAACTCACTCTGTCACTATGTCCTTCTTGAAAGATAGAGGCCGTGTGGCATGTTCATGGGGTTTTGTCCCTGTGAACTAACCAGTGCGTCTACTGCTGACAACTTCCATCCATCCAGCTGATCCCTGCCCCAGGCCCAGGGTTCTGCTCACTGCTTAGGCCTGAGGGCCATTTGCTGACTGCAGGAGTGCAGGGCTGTGACTGTCACCACCCTAACAACGCCTTGTGTTCTGCAGAAACTCCATTTGTCTTCTGCAGCACCTGGCCAGGAAGTCTCCCTCGATTTTACCCTACTGCCTGTCACTAAACCAGATCCTAGAACTCTCTTTGACCTCTTGAACCAGCGTTGGCCAAGCAAGGTTTTGAGCTATAGTCTCTGGGCTTTAAACCCCCTCACCATTTCCTTCCATGTTGGAAAAATCCATAAGAGTGACCCCTTTGTTTGCAATGGGAAATCATTAAAACTATTTTTTTTGAGATTGGTGTGGTGGCGCACCCCATCAATTCCAGTACTTAGGAGACAGAGGCAGATGTATCTTTGTGAGTTCGAGGATAGCCTGGTCTACATAGTGAGTTCCAAGACTTCCAGAGATACATAATAGAGAGATACTGTCTCCAAAAAAAAAAAAAAAAAGTCAATGAGTACATAAATAAATAAATAAAACCCCAACTCCTCACAGTCTCCCACATCACCTCCAAAGAGCAAGAGCCTTTGGAAAGGGAGTGTAATTAGTTCTCTACTGAAGGACACTCTCTGCTCCCGGTTCCTCATTTCACCTCAGAGACACCTCAGTCTATGGGATGAAGGTCAGGAGCCGTGGTCTGTGTGTCCAGAGAAAGACTGTAAATGTAGATTTTCCTGTGGCCACACCCAGACCCTTTCAACTCTATTCCCTCTCTGTCACCCGAGCCTGCCTAGTTAAATCACATGGGAACGAGGTGTACTGCAAAAGGAGGCTTCACAGGCAACATCCTTTCTGAAGCCCCACCCACACCCTTGAAGCCTCTGGAGTAGCACACGATGAAGCCACTGCCATTCTTAAGAACACGGAGTCCTAACTACTAGAGTAGAGATTTTATGGTCAGCCAGGGGTGGGTGGGCCGCCAACTGGAATTGGTGCTTGGTCTGTTCTTGGCTTGGCTCAGGGAATCAGAAACCAAGACGCATCCTGAGAGAGAGCTAGCAGCCCATAAGTGCCAGATCCTGTACCTTTAATCCTCAAAGGTGAGAAGTGGATGTGTGCATAAGAAATTAACAGCCCATGTAAGACCTGTCCTAAAAGGTTAAAATTGTCCTAGAAGGCTGCTGCCCCAGCCTCTTCTGCCCTCTGGTGGGCAGATGGAGAAATGCCTATTAAGTAAGCTGCTTTGCCAGGTATTGGGGCTGGGAAGAGGCTGGAGAGAAGCTTGGGATGTGATGGTCCAGGATGGGAGAGAGGGATGGACAGGGAGGTTGGAAAGGTTTAGGGGCACTTTCCTGAGAGGTGCTCAGGCTCCGCTGTCCATGAGCATCTGCCTAGGAACAGTAAGGGCAGCCAGCTCCTCTGCCACAATGGTTCTGTCTTTCCTCAGAGCAGCCCCAAGCATGTTCTTTTTCCAGTATGGAACATTCGAAAGTTGCTCCTGTCTCCATTTCCTACCATCTCAAAGAATCTTCAAAACCTTCCAAGCCTGGGAGGCAGAGACCGGGGCCACTTAAAACTATACAGGCCAGGGGGAAGTCTGGGTCTGGGAAGGTGGTGATGATGCTGAGACCCAGTACTTAACAGACCTTTGTAGAGGATCCAGCCTACCCCATCAGTCAGTGCTCCAGCCCACCCCATCAGTCCGTGCTCCAGCC